GGGCATGCATGAGAAGTAGACCTGTGAATTCCGTTGGGATATCATCTGGAACATTCCAGAAAGATATTGTGTAGCTATTATGCCTCTTATGGAAAAAAAAAATACTCTGTGCTAGACATACTCTATGCTAAACATTAAAATTTACCTTAACAAAGACTAACCTATAAAATATATGATATCAATAAATCCAAAATAAGTAATGCATTGTGACTCTATGATAGAAATCACTAATCTGTTCCAAAATTATAATGGTCATTAATGTCATGCATTTATTGTTTTATTAATCTATGTATAACTTGCCCAGATTTAAGGTGCTGAGCAAAATTAAATAAAGTGAGGTATGCTATGAACCATAGCAAGTTACTCCTTAAAATGTTACTAAAATTGTTCAAATTTTGTAATGTAGTGTCTAGGTGATAATCTCGTTTTTAATCTTTCTTGGCTTAGGTTGTAAACTCTGTAATGTAAAGCTCATCCTTGGAGCAAAACTGGTCCAGTTGTACTAAAGATGCTCCAGAGGGTCAGGGCCGGGCTCCCAGCTGGCTAGGGACAGGTCCGAGGAGAATACTTGTCCTTTGTAACTAAGAAAGAAATCTTTTAGCTTTGGTAGGTACTTACTGGGTTCTTCCTCTGCTCCCAAATTAATCACAGAAAAAATGTTCCTATCAGTTTCCTTTCAGTACCTAGACACATCCTACTTCTCTAAGTCTTTAATTACTAAATGAACTGAAACCTTACAGTAATCTCATGACATTTTAAAGAAATTCATAATATCTACAGGGGACACCCTAAGAGTCAGGTCTGCCTGCTTTATATTGTTAAAATTTGTATGCAGTTAGAGAAACGATGACAACACAGATACCTTGACTTTTTTGCCAAAAATAGGGATTTTAAGAAAAGAAGAGGTGAGGGCTGGGTATGCTGGTACACACTTGTAATCTCAGCACTCAGGAGGCTGAGGCAGGAGGATCACAGTGTTTGAGAACAGCCTGAACTGCACAGTGAAACCCTGTCTCAAAAAGATAAGAAAATTCCTGGTACTGGAAAAAAAAAAAAAAAAAGAAAAGAAAAAGAAAGAAATTAATAAAGGAAGGAAGGAGGGAAGGAAAAGCAAAGAAAGGAATAAAGAAAAAGGGAAAGAAAAGTAGAGGTGAGAATCCTGTAATCAAAAAAATCATCTAATTTATATTCATCATATGTGCTACGAAATCTCATCTTCCTTCCTAAAGAATTAATTACTACAAACAAAATGTACAGTCTTAACCACAAGTAAACCACTGCTTTTTTAATGGAGAAATAAACAGCTTTATCATCAACTTTAATCATGACATAAATTATGAGACTTTATCATCTCCTTAGAAGACTGCTTTTGATAACTGCCTTCTAATATCTTAATAACTATTGCTAAATTATTTTCAGAATTCTAGGTGCGTGAGACAGATGTGAAATTCCCCTAAATCCATCCCATAGGGAGGTTTCTGAAATATAGTGCATTACCTAACAACCACCCTGTAATGAAATGTTTTCACAATGATGTCAAAAGGCAATTTCCTAAGGGACTGTTTATTGTTATAATTAAAAGCTTTGGTTGGATATAAATATATATATTCCTGCAGAATCCAATCTCAGCAATAAGATTAACAAGAAGCTGTGTGGTCAAAGCTTTTGTTTTATTAAATCTTGCATCTCAAATCATGAGGTCACAGGAACTGAGCTCACTTAGTCCAAATATTTTAAGAAGAAAGCTCAGCATATAGTGTGTAGAACCTATGCATGTTCTTTAAAAATCTGCTACTTACAGGAAGTTGTCTGGAATTCTGACAGTGAAAATAATAAAGTGAACTCCAAGACAAGTGTTCACTGTTCCCATATGGGTCAGTGGCCCGTATGAGCCCAGTAAGGGAGACAGCGCTGGTAATGAATGATCAGTTACGCATCCTTCTGTCAATAGCTCGAGTGAGGATGATGTAGATTCCATCTGCACAATTCAGTCTCACACACACACACACACTTTGGCCCAGCAAATGTCAGATTGAAAATGGGAATTTATCCCTCCCTTGATGCATATCATTGTCTGTTTATTCGCTCATGATTGTGCCTGGCTCCACATCTTACTACATGAGGAATAATAAAATAACTAGATCAAGGCAAGTAGCCAATGACTCGGACAGCTTGCAACCTAATGTAATGAGTATCAGTAAGGCAAAGATCTCCTTGTGTGTTAAAGCCGGGGACAAGTTACTCATGAACGCCGGTCATTGATCCCTTGGGCATCAGGGAATAAACAGAAAAAATCTGAAGACAAATGTGTATACTAGTGTCCACTCAACAAGTTACTGCACGGTATCTCATTATGAACTAGGAAATGTTTTAATATCGATTTTATATTTTCCAGTTTTGCCTTTCATAGGGAAAAAAATGAAAGACTTCTTCATCTGGCATTGAATTAATTACAACCCTTAATCCTGATCATAAATTTACAAAGAACAGAGACTGATAGGTAAAAATTACTCCGTATGATTGGCTATTACTATGGTTTTTAAAACACTATAAAGGAGATACACTGAGTATGTGTCATTTTGCTTGGTTTATCGCTGCATGAGCTCTTTCTATGAGGGGAAAGTCTACACTTAAGTGAAGAGACGTTTGCCTGCTACCTTTTCTATAATGCCCCTTCCATTACCGGCCACCCTATCCAATTCCTCTTCCATGCCCCTCTGTAAAACTCCTCTCTCTTCTGGATGCTCTTGTCCTTCCTGCCCTGTGTCCTTCACCTTCACTTCCCAAAAACTCAAGAAGAGCTCCTCAGCTGTAACATGCTGGCGGCTAACCTGGGAGAGCCCCCTGGGTCATCCCTGCAGCATTCATTCACCCGTCAGTCAGAACCCCAGAAAATGTGTCACACTATGTCAGTTGCACTGCTCCAAGATAGGAGCAAGCCCTTCTATGTCTTCCAGACAGGGTGGTGTGATAGCCATAACAGCATAGCGGCAAAGGGAACAGGGTGATAGAGGAGGGCTTTCTGATGAGCTAGAAAGGGTAGCGAGAGGCCAGGAGTCTGTTCCTTCTTGATGACTTTCCTGCCCACACACCTCACCCAATGTCCTTGCTTGTCTGAGTCCTCCACCTCCCCGTGTTCAGTTCCCTCCCTTCTGCCTCTTCAGGAGACACCATTCCTGAAAGGCTGGCACACTCGCTCGCCTATAGTCAGATCTTCACAGAGCAACAGATAGAGAATTTTAAAAGCACTAAGCTCGTATATTTCATGGGCTGAAACTAATCCACATTTCCCAGTGTACTGGGAATAAATTGATCTTCTCTAAAGCTAGTAACATCCTGCACAAGCAGTGTACAAGGAGTGAGGGGTGTGAGTGCCTAGGGCTGCACCTTCACCCCCAACTCTGCTGTTTACTGGGCATGAGGCTGGGCACAGCTACTTAGCGCCTCTATCCCTGGGCCCCTCTGTAGGACACCTGGGTGAGGGAGTTTCCCTGAGTTAACTTTAAACACCTAGAACAGCTCCTGATCGAAGTAAATCCTACACAGGAGCTAGGTGTTATTATTTGAAGGGGCTGACCTCTGTCCTTATCCATCCATACGTCCTGTTTAGCTCTTGATCACGTTGTCCAGCTCTAGTGACCTTTCTGTCACTCAGTCACACTCATCTCTCCCTAACCTGTTGGCTGACTGGCCACTCCGCATCACTGTCATTTCACCTGAGATGTTACTTTCTCAGAGTGACCTTACCAGTATCTCCCAGCTCAAGTCAATCTCTATGCTATCGCTCTGCTTAATTTTCACCAGTGTGACAGGGCCTACCTTGTTCATGTTTTGCTGCCTGCCTCATATAATTAGGGGACGAGGTTCAGCGACACCTGGGGCAATGTGTGGATGGCCCATCTACCCAGAAATCCCAGCACACCCAGCACAACACCTGGCTCAAAGACAGTGCTCAAAACATACTGTCACTGGGGTCGGGGGGGAATAAATGAGTGGGTGAGTGAGTGAGATGGATGGACAGATAGATGGACGGGTGACTGGAGAAATGAACACATGGAGAGATGTTTAACCTTGGTCTTGAAGAAGGAGTTAGAACAAAACAGTAGAGGAGAAGAGAAAGTATAGCAAGTGAAATGAATCAAATGGGTAAACGAGGAAAGATAACAACAGCCTGTGTATGTGCAGCTGCCTCCGAAAGCCGGAAGCATGGAGTGGGGATGATGAAGAAGAGGAAGAAGTGCTGGGAGAGGAGCAGGAGGCAGAAGCACACAGCAAGGAAGTTCAGTGTAGTTTCTGCCTTCGTGTTTTTGGGTGTGTCTCTTTACACTAAACGATGAGCTTGGAATTTGAGAAACATCACTACTAGCTTTTAATTTTTTTTTTTTTTTTTTTTTTGAGACAGGGTCTCACTCTATAGTTCAGGCTATCCTTGAGCTGACTACCTTAGTCCAGGCTGGCCTCCAACTCACAGCAATAGTCCTGCCTCAGCTTTCCCGAGTGCTGGGATTACAGGTGTGCACCACCTTCCCTGGCAACTACTAGCTTTTCTTAAAGCTAAGAAAAACAATGCATGTGTATTTGCAAAGTTACTTTTAAACAAAGAGCAGAGGTGAGTCTAAAGTCTTCCTGTCAACCTGCTCTACATATTCTTGACTCTTCAAAACTTAACCTCCTGAGTGTTTAATAATCTTTACTTTTAGAATAAAAAGTCTTTGAGAAGCAGTATTGGCGAAGGTAGAATTTTTAAACATCCTCCATGCCATACATGAGTTAAAAGGAAATCTGGATGTGACTGTAACTCCACTTGAACTCTAGCATTCTGTTCACTATTTTATTTTGATTGGTTTAAAACCACTTTTCCTCCTTATACTATTTTAATTAAGAATTTAGTTAGCACCGAGCAGGTGAGAAAATGTCGATCCTTTATTTGAGGGGACCCAGGCTGATCCTCCATCCCCTGTTATGTCAGCAAGCAAGGAGCAGCTTGTTGTCACACTCACCTTTATGTAGGGCCTGGGTTACTATTAAGGTTGAGCACATCCATAAGATGCTTCTGATATTTATCAACATCTTGTCCTAAGAATGAAGAAAAACAAAGTAAATCACAAGCATTCAGCCTAGAAGCAGACCATACATCACATGCCACTCTTTGTGCATTTTATGGAGGAAAAGCAGGAGCAGCATCTTCTCAGAATGTAAAGCCAGGAGGGAACTTGTAATAGGAGAAGTTACCTCAAGCCTGCAATTATTAGTGTGAGTCTCACCCAAGGCAGTAGTTACCAAAATAATCCCAGCATCTAATTTGGGGACACAACAATACGAATATATGTCAAAGCCACAACTGGGAAGGCTGTGGGAGGAATACCAGAGGCCACAGCCTGAGTGACTAACAGTTAGGATCTGGTGGGGGCAAGAAGGGAAAAAGGAAAAGTGACCACAGAGTCTTTAGCAATATGAAGGTGACCGTGGATAGAGCAAGAGAAGATGAAGATGAAGGAGCAACAGCAAAGATGCTGGATGTAAGAAATTTGCCTCAAACAAGGCACATGATATCAAAGCAGAGAACAAGGACCTCGGCGGGCTTTTCAGAGCGCAGACTCCACTGGGTTTCCAGCTGGCTGGGCAAACCAAACAAGTGTATTCTAAGGAGTTGTTAATTACAAAAGTGGCCAGTGCTTGCCATGAGTTTGAAAGCAGTTCCAACAGTTCCCAACCCTCCAGAGCAAATGATGAAGGAAAATGCCCTGTGCTGACTGCCAAGAAATCCTGTTCTGACTCTAGTCTTCAATTCATTGTGTGACATTTAACAACCCAAGTCTCACAGTGGTCCCTTCCAGTGTGAATTTCTGTGACGCTTTAATGAGGAGCAGACGCAGCACCAGTGTTGGAAACAGCTACAGTTTGGATCTTAAATGTCCGTAAATGGCCAGATCTTAAAGGCTGGGTCTTCAGCTTGGCACTATTGGAAGGTGGAGGAAGGTGTGGGGATTCCTGGAGGCCTCAGGTACCTGGGGGTGGGCCCTTGAAGGGACTACAGGACACCACTGATCTCTCTCTTCCCTGTGCTCTTGTGCTTCCTGGCCCCCTTGAGCTGACTGGTAGCTCTGCCATACGCTTCCAGCCGTGACATACTGCCTTGCCACGAGCCGTAATCAATCACACGCTGGAGCTCCAAAACTGAGCCAATGCTATCCTTTGTCTTTTGAGCGGGGATCTGAGGTATTTATAATGGTTATGCAAAGCTGACTAGCAAAGGGACCATCTAGAAATCAAAGTGTCAACTTCAAGAAAGGCAGATTATTTGATCTCCATACTTATGTCTTTCTCTGCTACACTGAGAATTGGTCTATAAAAACCATTATTGGTTGGCTTCCAAGTAGATTTTCCTCCTTCTTCTAAAAAACAAAAAACAAACAAACAAAAAAAAAACACCCAGTTCCATTCTAGTATCGCCCCTTGGAGTAAAGCTATGTACTTTTAGAGGAACCAGGGTGAAATCCCAGTACAAGGAAGTGATCCTGGTACTCCAAGTCAGTACAGTGGTCCCATTCTTTAGTTTTTATTTTAAAAGTAATTTAAAAAATAACAAAATAACAACAACATAGACAAAAATAAAACAACACAGAAACAATAAAAATGATACAGGGTTTCAAAACCAAATGATAGGAGTGAACGGTGCTTGTTATATTACACACTGTTATCTTCATCGAAGTTGCTCACATTACCAGATGTAAGAATGCAAGGTCCCATTCTTTTTGCCAGTGATTGCTTTTGGAATGGTGGTAAGTATGGAAGTTTGGCCAATGAAATAGGAGAGAATCCCTGTCCTGGGCTGAGGGTGGGAGGCTGCTGAGAAAGGTATATTCAACTTAAGAAGAGAACAAAAGGAGAGGTGGCCACTTTTCTCCACTGGACACTATCATGATAAGATATGTCTTCTTGAAATCACTGTGGCTATCTGGAATCCATACATGGATGAGATAGCCCTGGAATAAAGCTGAAAACGAACCAGGGATGACAAGGTTTAAGTTCTTAAGCTATGGATCTCAAATGGGTCATAACTGTGAACATCTTTCTATATGAACTGATAGATTCCTCTATTGTCCAAACTCTTTACTATAGTGTAGATCTTCTATCTTCCTCTAAGGCCCAGGTATTAGAGTTTAGTCCCAAGATTGGTGCTACTGGAAGGAGGAGGAAATTTTAAGAGGCATGGCCTGTGTGAGTTCTTAGGCAGGAGGGTGCATGCATTCACAGGGGATCGTGGGACCCCGGTTCCTCACATCCCTCCTTTGCTCCCTGGCCATAGAGTGGACAGTTGTGAATTACCATATGTTCTGCCATGAGACCCGACCCTGACAGGTCTGACGGCCACAGAGCCAAGTGACTGTGCTCTGAACCCTCCAGTACTCCACTAAAACTGTTCTCTGTAGAAATTAATGATTCCATTCTACACAAACATTCCAAAAAAATTTATAAAAATCTAGAACTCTAGGTATTCCCTGGAGAACAATTTTAAATGTAACATGCTATATATCTCACACTTTCCATCTGTAGGTCAATGGATAATCTCCAAGGAAAAGAATATATTTAGGATTACCTAATAACCCTAGTCACGCTTGTTACTCACCATTTAGTCAGTAATATATGCTATTAGATTATTTAAAATACTAACTGGGAAGGGCCATAATTTTTGACATTTCTCGATTTCTTATAAGGTACTCAAGTAAGTTGTTATGGCTCATGGGTTTATATTTTAACTATATCTTAATGACATTATAATATTTTAGAAGAGATACACATAGCAATTTCATAACCAAGATAAAAGCTGAGGTTGCATCATAAACTGCTATTAAAAGTAATATAACCCATGAGCACTAACTGAATCCAGATAAGCAATAATTTCCTACTTTTCCTCAAGCAAAATTATTCTCCTTTTTCTTCTTTTTCTTTTTTTTCAGGAAACTTTTAGAGCTAATTTCAATCTCCACTTTCAAACAAGTTTGAATTCCAGTTCTACGTCCTCCACTTAGACTCTTGGTTTTTGGATACATGACACTTCCTACTTCCTCTCTGAGCATCATTTTCTGTATCTATAAAAAGTTAGCATCATTTTCTGTAGCTAACTTTTGGTTAGCTAATACTAACCAAAAGTTAGTATTTATTATTGAAGTGATTGAAATCTTCCCTTAAGGCCTTAATTATTGAAGTGATTTATTATTGAAGTATTTATTATTGAAGGATTATTAGGTAATCCTAAATATATTCTTTTCCTTGGAGATTATCCACTGACCTACAGATGGAAAGTGTGAGATATATAGCATTTTACATTTAAAATTGTTCTCCAGGGAATACCTAGAGTTCTAGATTTTTGTAAATTTTGGGGGGAATGTTTGTGTAGAATGAAATCATTAAGTGATTTATTATTGAAGTGATATATATATATATACACACAATCATATATATATATACAATCATATATATGTACTATATATATATCTCAAAGGTATAAAGTATTTAATATTCAATATTCATTATTAAGATTACCAATTCAGGCTATGGGTGTTCTAATTTTGACTTTGTACTATTAATAATGAAAAAGAAAATATTTGAAGCTCTATATTATAGCCTTAGTTAACCACTATAACAGTAGTAAACAATTTTATGTTTACAATAATTGCTGCATACTTGGAATTTTGATGTGTAATCACATTTTATCTCCTCCATAAAACAATAGCTTCTGGAAGGCAGAGCTGCTAACTTATGCAATGTACTGTTTCCCACAACATTTCACGGCACCAGGTTTAGTGTAGACTCTTGAAGAACGCCAACGTACCACAGGCATGACCGCACTAAGGCACACTGCAAAGTGCACAACCACACGAGCAGGGGCAAGTGAACACACTGACATACCTTTGGGTCAGCCCAGTGTTAACCACGACCCATATAACGTCTGATATTAATCAGTATCCAGAGTGTCAAATCTCTTGACAAAACCGGAAGGGAAATGTGTGAGCCTGACTCAGGAATGGACCTCCTCCTCCTCATCCTAATCTGCTCAAGACTGATCCTCAAAAGTCTGACTCTTGGAGCCATTCTTCATCCGTATAAAAGTGTCTTTATCCTTCGAAGGAAGGATGGAAACCATCCCTCACCTGTGTAAGTCTACTGAGTACCCTCATCACTTGCTCTAAGACTACTTCTAAGACTAAACTAGAGAAGGAAAATAATAAGAAAATGCATAGAAAATAATAAAATGATCAGAAGCACTTAAGTGCATTGTAACAAGCGCTTAAGTGTATTCAAAATATGCCAGATGAAAAATTGGAGTATTCATGCTGAGTCACAGGTCTTTACCTTCTTTTGAAAAGTCAGAAATCTAGCAAAGCTTGTTCCAAGTTTTAACTGGCTAGTTCCATGCAGAAGCCAAGCAGCAGCTTCTTCTCGGGTCTATGTACAGGAGGCTGTCCCCACCCACAGAGCCCTTATCTATTTCCGCCCATGCCTGGGACTGCAGGCTCCTGGGTGTACAGCACCAGGGTCAGAGGGTGACCGCTTATCTCTTGTAAATACACCAGACTGCAGTTGCGGGTCCTAACCGCCTCAGCTGCACATTCTGTTGTCTTTCCCTCAGTCCACAGGCACGCGTTCCACTTCTCTACTTTTCTTAAGGCTGTGCCCGTGTCCGTCTTATGATATACCGCTTGCCTTCTGCGTTTGATTTTATTCTACATGGGAACTCTTGGGAAACTTTGCCTTTAGCTCCATCCGGCCCCCATCTCCACTCCTCTGCTCCTCCAGTCTGTTGGTGATAACGGGTCTACATGCATGGACAGACCCGGGGAGGGAGCAGAGCCTGGGCCTATATTTAGCCTCCCACTTCAGTAAAGTCAATGAGAAGAGGAAGAGGTCATCACGTAATCAAGGTACAGCTGACAAAACTGTTCAGTTGCCTGGGAGACAGAAGAGCCAAGGTCAACAGGACTCCAGTCCACACTGATGTCTCTACAGAGGGCACCGCACCAGGATGGGCTGTCCCAGCAAGGGAGCCTAAGTTCTATTAAACAGATATTTAG